GGGGGGGGGGGGGGGGGGGGGGGGGGGGTTGTCTCCAGTTCAGGTTAATAAACAAGAAATCTTGATAGGTAAATTAATCATGGCTATTACACTGAGCAAAGTACACCAGAAGAAGCAAAGGCAGTTCAGTTGCAGTGCATGACGAGGTAGAGAAGTCATATCTTGTTAAGTTTCGCAAGAAGGAAAACAGAAGCAGAAGTGACAGCAGGAATGAAGATTTCATTAGGAATGGCTCTAGGAATCAGTCGTTGCTTGATAAATAGTGCTGTAACTGGAATGCCAAACAGGAAGAACAGTATATCTTTCGCTCCGATTCCGGTGACTCCCGTATGAAAAATCACATCCTGAAGGATCTTCTGAAATTCTTCTTTCGTCAATGACTTCCCTTTGCCTTGGTGGTGAGTCTGCAAATGCCAACACACCATGGAAAACACCAACGTCATGCCGGGGCGGAGTTAGAAAGTATATTTTGGGTTGGCACATTAATAAGCTTTGATATTTTTTTGGGCGAATTACGCATGAACGATTTTAAAATTCTCACTTTATACCCTCAAAAATTAAATTTTTCATATTATACCTTCAATGTATCAAAAGTGTTATAATATACCTTCAATGTATCAAAAGTGTTATAATATGATCATTTTGTTAGTTTTCCGTTAGTTTTTCCTTCAGTGTCAATGAGTTGTCTTTTGACGGAAACGGAAGTTAACAAAAGAGTCATAATACAACATTTTTGATAGATTAAGTGTTGAATATGAAAAATTTAATTTTTTAAGGTACAAAATAAAATTTTAAAATCTTTCAGGTACAATGTATGAAAAACCCTGACTATATTTGGTTATCATTTATAAAATAATTTTTTGTTTTTTAAATTTTTAAAACACTTAAAACTTGTTTGTTTAATATTTTTATTCTCAAAATTAAAAAAAAATAAAATTAAAACACAAAAACAGAAAACAAGCCACTTGTTTTCTGTGTTTTACAGCCAAATGAAGGAAAACGCGAGAACACGGAGACACCCCCATTCTTCATTAATGGGATCTCCTCTTCAAATCTCCTTAGCAGCAAAACATGGCATGGTTAAATTTTTTTTTTTCTTGCTGGTCTTTCCTTCCCAGACTCTTTCTCTCTCTTTATTTCTCTCTCACTCCGGCAAAATCAGGCGACCTCTCCACTTCGGCGAAAGGCGACGCTATCCACTTCTCCGACGACGATATCGTCTTTTGCAACGAGGATATCGTCTTCTTCTTCGTCCTTTCAGATCTGGGTTTTAGATCTTAGGTTCAATTTCAGATCTGAGATTACTCCGGCAAGTGGGTTTTCAGATCTGGGTTCAGGGTTTTCTTCTCCGGCAAGTGGGGTTTTCAGATCTGGGTTCAATTTCAGTTCTGAAATTACTTCGGCGAAGTTGCGCCAATACAGTTAAATGAATGACTAATTTTTCTTTTTTATTTTATTTTATCTAGTTTAATATATTAAAATAATTTTATATAACATGTTTTATTATTTTTTATTTTATAAAATTATTTTTAAAACCACCTAACCAACTAAAATTTTCGTCTCGGAAATATTTTTTAAAAATTATTTTTAGGGACGCAGAGCAATCGCCCCTATTTTTCCACGGAACCATGTTTTTTTTTTTTTTGAGCAAAACACGGAACCATGTTTGATTCCACTTTATATGACCCTCCCAAGTTTTCACAATTATACCTCACCCCCTTAAATTGTGGCCATCTTATATATTGTACCATTAAGCATTCAAGGCAATTCTGTGGATTATTTTTGTCGAAAAAATAACAGTCTACGAAAAATCAAATTTAAATAAGTTGTAAAAAAATTGATAATTTTAATGATTAGTTGTGTTATGTGTTAAATTCAATAGTCGATGAATAAAATGATATAAGAGTCATAATTTATCGACATACTACATGTATTCGTCTCGTTTTGTTTAGTTTTCATATTTTAAAAAGACATAACGTGATTTAGTGCTACTCGAGCAATCATGTGATAAAATTGGGCTTTGGNAAGATTCAAATCGAATATAATGTGAATTTAAGAGAGATACGTATTATTCGTCTCGTTTTGTTTAGTTTTCATATTTTAAAAAGACATAACGTGATTTAGTGCTACTCGAGCAATCGTGTGATAAAATTGGGCTTTGGGCTTAAATTGTTGAATCTTTGATGAGTTCATGTGAAATTTGACACATCTAATTACTTTAACAAGTTATAGAAGTTGCATCTGAATTCTGAACAGAATGCTTACTTCGAAAGCATGCTCCAATGTGGCAGGCTTAGGCACACGAAACTGGGTGCTACCGAGCTTTTTGTTGAGTTCTCTGTCAAAAGGACACAAAGCAGCTGAATTAATCAATATGATCTTTCTTATAGCTAGGTAACGGTGGCAATGCTCTAATGTCGTGTTATTTAGGTTTGTGTTAAATAATAATTATTTCAAAGATGATCAAATAACTAATTAAACGCGTCCAGTCACATCCAAAATATGATATGTTAAATATATAAAGAATCCGAAGTTTTACATGGGGTCGTGTTCGGGTAACACAACCAGGTAAACCGGGCATCGACCAATGATAATATGGGATCGTCGGTCACATTAACATTTGCAATAATATGTCTTTTATATCAATGATCAGGGGTGTCGAGGCCAACATACACGTATCTTGACTAATTCCCTATCCAGTTTAATTAAAGGTAAATCACTCATGTCGGAATTAAGATATTGATGAAGGATAAATTTCTCATGACTTGACCACAATAAGTTGTCTATAACGTCTGAATTTACAGATCGTCTTTATTATTACTTGAATTATTTAAAAATAACATTTTGAATTTTTTTAATTCTATTAATTTCGTGTCGGGTTCGTTTCCACTATTTAGTAGTTTTGTCAAAAAGTGGCATCCCTACTTAGCAGCAGATATGATAAGCAGCTACCCTAATTAGCTGAAGTGGAAAGCATGAAAAAGAAGATATAAGTACTCGACCGTCTGGCATACTGCATGGTAGAAGTCAGCTGAATTCCAATCCTTATTTGGGTCAGCAAAGTGTGAATCGTAGCATTTTTCAATTATGGGCCCAATTTCCTTATCCTTCTTTTCTTCACTTCCTGCACAGAAATGACAAGGCTACATCAGTTTCCTTTTTTTTTTTTGGTTGAACGTGGTAGAGATAATCAGGCCAGTTTACGTGTATTTCGACTAATTTTTTTCTCGGTTCGATCAAAGACAGACCATCCACGTTGAGACTAGGGTGTTCATGAGGGAGGGATTGTCAGTATGCAAACTCAGGTCGTCTGAATTTATAGTTCATTCATATTATCACTTAAATTACCATTTGACGTTAGGCTACGTCTGTTTCATGAGCAAGAAGCCCATTTTCTTGGTTTCAAATATCTAAAAGCTACCATTTTATTATCCGGTTTGATTTTTGTTAAGCAAGGGACTTGAGAGGAATGAATCGTGTTATGAGCTTGAAATTTTGTTATTATTCACAAAAAATGAGTTTCTTAGATTCAAACATACAACCTTATTGTTGTTGACCCAAAATTTGTATGCACTATTAGCAATGACCCTTTAAAACAAAAAAACCATCTAGCTCCTAAAAACATGCATGTAGTAGTGTACGCCTAGTGTTTGACTCCTCTCTAATTTTTTTTTAATAGTGATGACCTGTTCACTTCAACAAATTTGATTGTATTCAAGAAGCATTTTGTATTTTCAAATTAAAAGCAAATTGAATTTGTCGAAGTGAAAACACCTTCTACATTAAAAGATAATTGGAGAATCCTCAATTTCTTTCATAATTAGAGAAGGATCCTAACCAAGGAGGGAGGGAGGGAGGGAGAGAGAGAGAGAGAGAGAGAGAGTACCAGGACCTTGTTTCTTCAGGGATTGGCCCATATCTTTCACCTCTTGGCAATGTTTGGAGAAGATGATTGGGGTATACAAAGGTGAAAGGAGCTTTATACCTTCTATCAGATCTGTGGTAACTTGCTAAGAGGGAAGAGTATATTGTTATGTCCATGTCCTTTCTTAAGAATCAAGCAAGGATTTTGTCAAGCTTTAATTAACTTAAATGAAAATACAAGAAAGTTTATGGGAGAGGCTTTTTTATGCAAGTAAGGAATGCTTATGGAACTAAATAAGATGGAACCTTCTCACCAGTGTTGAAACAATGAGAAAGTGTTTTGGATGAATCCAATCCTACCCCAACCGGTTGAATTTAGGGTCGGTTTGGTTTGTGGGATTGAGCGAAACCCATCTAGGGGTGATATTCAAATGGGTGGATTGAGATTAGAATTAGAATTATTAATGTGTCTTTACATAAAATCAAATACTTCATTGGATGAAAGACAATATTGTAAAAATTACAAATATTTTGATGTCAATCTATGGAACCCACGTGCTTCTTTTACTCCTTTTCTTAAATAGCGAAACTTACTAAACAACCCACATGTTCAATTTTTCATGAAAAAGCTTTGATTTTTTGTCCAACCCATGTTTGGTAATAGTGATGTGTAACATCATGCGAAAATAGGGACTCTATTCACTTTCACGTAACTTTTCCGACAATCTGAATCAACTCTCCGAGCCCCCAAATAAGGCTTTCAATGACTGACAAACCTGAAAAAACAGGAGGGGGGAGCTTTGGGAGTTACCCTACTATGCTCAAGTCAATAACTGATCAAAGTTAAATGGTAGGTTTTAGGAAGAGAGTTGTGCACCTTTAAGTGTTTCTCTAAGCTCTTTTTTATGGTTTGAGAATCAATTATTGTGGAGGGTGGGGACGACTAGACTCTTTTTTTTTTTATTAGGAGCGTGGACTCCTCTGGAATGAGGGGTTTCAAGCAGGGGCTGTCAATCATTTTTGGTGAGACTGGTTTATATCCGAGTCTTAGTGATTTTATATTAAAAAGTATTCCTTACATATTCTGTTCGTTTATTAATTTATGTCTAATAAATTAAATTATATTGAATTTATGTCGTGTATAAATTGTATACAATTAGTATCTAAACGAGTCGTATAGAATATTTTTTTTGATTTATTTCATCCATACCCGATTCGTTTATTAATTGTGTGGTGTCGAATTCACTTATTTACAAAACAGGTGACTTAATGACAGACTAAAACTCTTTAATTTCGTGTGGAATTATATTTTGGCAACTCTAGTCTCAAGTCCTTTCTCTCCAAGTTTAGGCCACTAATTTAATTTTAAAGGTCTTTTGATTTTCAAATAACGAATAACCCCATATTATGGTCGCCAACCATGAGTCAGTTGGGTGAGGCATAGGTGATTACCAGGATTGGCACAAGTACGATTTTTTCCCCAATCGACCTTTGGTATCCGTTTGGTACGATAATAAAATAAAAAGATAGAAAATTAAAATAATAAAAAATACGAGCGATAAATAAAATATCATGTTCGGTAAGAAAGAACAATAAGAAGGATAAAAAAGTAGATAGATTAACTTTCTTTCAAACTCATCAAAATCAATCACTTTAAAATTGAAAGAAAAGTGAATAAAAAATTAAATATTTTGTGTTGAAATATATCTTATTTGTCTATATATCTTTATATATATATATATTATGTATATATTAATTTCATATAAAAATACAATGATAAAATATGTATTTATATTATTTTTTTAAATAAATTTAAAAATAAAAAAATAAAAAAATAAAAAATAATTTTTTTTTTAAATTAAAAAAAATATTTTTTCTATCTTAACTAAGGGTATAAATTTTTGACTCAACACGATTATACGACTCGAACTAGAGACAAATTTTATGACACGAACTTAATTATAACTCGACACGAACTTGAAAATGACTTGACACGTGAACAAGAAATATAAAATACACATATTTAATTCAATCAGTCAAACTCAAAATTGACACCATTAACCCGTTTATTTAAAGATAAATACTTTCTCTATTTTTTCGTTTGTATGATAACACGAAATTAACATGTTTAAATAGTATTATAGATATAAAATGTTAATTATTTGTAATTATTTATTAAATAATGACATAATTATTATATAAAAAAAGATATTTTTACTTATTATTATTATATTTATTTAAGTTAATTTTTAGTTTATAGAAAAAATATTAACATGGATTCAATTAAGTGAAAATAGAATATTAGCGTTAAATTTTTTATTTAAAGTTTATGTGGGTCAATACGAATACGAACATGATACGAAAATAAACAGGTCAACTCGCAACTCGACACGACCCGATACAATTAGTTAAATAAGTTGAGTTAGATTTGACTAATGTTCGACACAAATTCATAATAACTTAACACGAATATGATATAATAAGACTCGATTATCACCCCTAATCTTAACAAAAAATAAATAAATCAGTCATTTTGATTTTTCATCTATCTAACCAAATATAAAAGAAAAAAAATGTATCATTATTATTATTTTTTCTTAAAAAATAAAAAATATATCCATCTTCCTTTTCGTCCTTTCTACGCTCTATAATTCCTATCAAACAGAACGCAGATGTTGGCAGACTTTTCATCTGTAACTTTTTGAATCTTGTTGGAGCTTTCCTAATGGTACAATTAATTTTTCTCCAATCATTTATTATGTCCAAAAATAGGGAAAGAATTAAATTAGAAGAAAATAAAGAGGAACAGATAATCATTAACGAGCTTTCCGTTGGCGCGTTCTCTAGAGATTTCGAATAACTGTTGAACAAACATTTCATACTCAATCCTACCTGTCTGCTCTGTCGTCTTGTTCTATAGAAACTTCTCTCTCTCTCTCTCTCTCTGTGTGTTCACCCCACCCACAATTTTTTGTGGTTTTGGTTTTGAGCTTGCCATGACACCTATGGGTAACGAAACAGAGTTCTTCTTGGAGAAAGACGAGGATGACGATAATGATATAGAAGATAACAAAGATTTTGACACCGATACTGATGATGAAGACGGTCATCATAGATCGCCTAGTTCTTCGTCTTTCTATTCTAAGCAGTGGCCCCAGAGTTACAAGTTAGCTCCATCTACTATTTTCTTGCCTCTCTACTTAAGTGTGTGCACTGTTTGGTTGCTGAGAAACAGAAAAGAAAATAAGTTTGTGCACTGTGTATCTGTGTATACAATTTTATGCTCGTTTTTCTTTCAAATAATGGGCAATCAACGATGAGCTGGATAGAGATACTTCAATTTTAGTAGCATTTACCTATATATATATAGGTGTATATGCGTGCTACACTTTATGCAATTAAGCTTAGAAGATATGATTGAATGTGGACAAAAGAAAACAAAATTCAACTTTTCACTTGAAAAGGTACCTTTTTTTTGGGTGAAAATGACTGCTATACTTTCCCTTTTTGGTTTAAGAAAAGCTTTATCAAGTAGTACCGTGAATAGAAAGGTTTTGCTTTCTGAGTCTTACTGGGGCTAATTTGACTCTTGGAGATGAAATTCTAGTCTCAAAGTAGATGTCTCTTTTCTGGTGATGTATAAATGCTTGGTTGATATATGTTTTGTAGGTGAATAAGATCATTGGGTGGAAAATGGTATTTGTGGTGCTGAAGTCTAGTAGTAGTGATAATTAGAAGGCGAAAATTGCTAGTTGCTAGTAAAGAGATCAGTTGCCAAGTCTGGGGGGAGGAATGAGATTTCTCATATCTCATGTTCAATATGGATAAAAAGATGTATTAGAAATGAAAAATAGGATAGTAGGGAAGTGTTTTCCTCCATTTCTCTTGATATTTGGATCTCCCCTTATCACCAGGAGAGGGAATAAATGTGAGGAGGTGCGATATAAGATGTACTGCTTCGCAGCTTTCTGCAACTCTGTTGATTGTTTGTCTTCTTGGCAGGGAGACAACTGATACATACACAATCGCTGCATCTCCAAATTTTGGGTTGGTTCGACGTTCATCGAGCGTTAGATATTCAAACAGTGATATTGGTTCAAAGAATAAGTTGGACTCCAATACGAAGGCTCCTTTTCTGCCTGAATATGAAAAAATCCCTCAGAAAGAAGACTTGGACGGAAACTCCAGAACACAGTCGTTATGGTCAGACAAAGCCTCATTACATGAGAAACTCACTGGAGAACTTCCTGTTGGCCATGGATGTAGCTTCACTCAAACTATATTCAATGGTAAGCAATGTCATCGCAGTTTATAATCATAATACTTCTAGATATTCTGTTGGTTATACATTATTGTAAGTAAATGGTTTAAAGATAATGGACCTGAAATTTGACATCAACAATAGATGCAAAAAAGATCTAACAAGATAGAAAATGGTTTCTGATCTTATTCGGTTGATTCGTTGTTATCTAGTGTTCTGATATAGTCTTGGAGATCTCGGTATTACCAGAAAAAGATGAGTTTAATCTTCCTTAAATATCCCTGGTTGAAATTTGAAGAATGAAGCGCTGTCATTTACATTTTCTTGTATTCAACATTTTTTCTGTTATATTCAGCACTTTTCCTTACGTGGGTTGGTTGGAGATAAGTGCAACTTCGTATGCTATTGTGTAACAGGGGTAAATGTAATGGCCGGGGTTGGGCTTCTTTCTACGCCTTACACAGTGAAAGAAGCTGGCTGGGCAAGCTTGGCAGTGCTTGTTATTTTTGCAGTTGTATGTTGCTACACTGCTTCTCTCATGAGACATTGCTTTGAGAGTAAAGAAGGCATCATAACCTACCCTGATATGGGAGAAGCAGCATTTGGAAAATATGGACGCCTTTTTGTATCTGTAAGTTGATCTAGCTTCAACTTGTAGCAACTGTTTTCTTTCTCAGGACCTAATCATGGGCTAGCTGGTGTTGGAGAACTTTTAAGGGTATCATTGATCAGGGCCAATATTTTCTGTGTGGCCTCTTTAGGTTTGTTGAAACTGTTTGATGCACGTTACATATGTTGGTTTTCCTTGACCAGAAACCATTTTCGTATATAATTATAGACATAGTATGGCATTGTGATTTACAATTTTGAACCATCACAAGATTGAAAGGAAGTAAGTACATCACAATGTTGCAGACATCTTACAAGGTTATAGCCACCACGTCCTCCTCCTCCCTTTTTCCAAATAATTTTGAAAAATGATTATATATGAGTGTGAATGCTGCATATGCAGAGTTTTTCTTGTTGATAGATTTTTGGTTTGTATGAAACGTAAAGTCTTTGCTGATACAATCTCTCTCTTGGCTCTTGGTGCAGATTATTTTGTATGCAGAGTTATATGTAAGTGAAGCACTGTTCTGATTTACTGGTTGCTTGGTCCATATTCGGTTCTCTACCTGAGTCCTCACATTTATTTTTCGTGAATACAGTCATATTGTGTGGAATTTATCATTTTGGAAGGAGATAATCTTAGCAGGCTATTTCCTGAAGCATCATTGGATTGGGCTGGGTTTAAGGTGGACTCTATGCACTTCTTTGGGGTTCTCACTGCACTTATTGTTTTACCGACTGTTTGGTTAAGGGATCTTCGTGTGATATCATATCTTTCAGGTGGTTTTGACTACTATAGAAGTGACTTCTCACTGTTGATTATTTAACACATTCAATAATTTCATAAGCCTTTTGTCTAAAGTTTTTTTATTCAATGTGCAGCTGGTGGTGTCCTTGCAACAATTGTGATTGTTCTTTGTGTGCTTTTTCTTGGTACGGTGGATGGGATTGGATTCCATCAATCAGCTCAAATCGTGAAATGGAATGGAATTCCTTTTGCCATTGGTGTATACGGCTTTTGCTATTCTGGGCATTCTGTATTCCCAAATATTTACCAAGCAATGGCTGATAAAACAAAATTCAGCGAGGCCCTTGTAATATGGTAAGGGACCTTGATTTTGTAAAAGCATTATGCATTTATGTTAATTTTTCCAACATCTTACACTATCCCGTTTTGCAGTTTTCTTTTGTGTGTTGTAATATATGGGGGTGTTGCAGCTATGGGCTTTCTCATGTTTGGTCAAGACACATTGTCTCAAATAACTTTAAACATGCCATCACAGGCGGTTGCTTCAAAAGTTGCAGTGTGGACCACTGTAAGCATCAAACCCTGAATTGTTTGATTAATTCCTTTATTACTTGGGGGTTGGGTTAACTTTTCGGTGGTTTATATTCTATTAGTGGTGTTGGTACTTCATTTTTTGCATTCTTTTTCCTTGGACAGGTTATCAATCCGTTCACAAAATATCCTTTTTACAGTCCCCTCTAAATTCAGGAATGTGAAATAATGAGCTTAATTTGATTGGCTGTCGAATTAATTTCAATTCCTTTTTCTTATTTGCTTCCCTAACACTACACACATATGCCCTGTTGATGAACCCATTGGCAAAAAGCATAGAAGAGCTGCTTCCTGATGGAGTTTCTAGTAGTTTGTGGTGTTATATTCTTCTGAGGACAGTGCTTGTCATCTCTTCTGTCTGTGTTGCATTTCTCCTTCCCTTCTTCGGTAAGTAATTGCTTACTTACTACTCATGTTTTTTTTTTTAATGAAAGAAAATTCCTTGGAACTTGCCATCTTTGTGACCAAAACATTCTATTCTGTATCCTCGTCAATTTATTTTCTTATGTAAGTCGTTCGAAATAAGCCCTTTGCAAATCAGAAGATTTCTATGGTGATTGGCATCCTCCCACATTAGAATGCATTGAGTTGAAGTTTTGTTTCGTTGCATTAGCAATTAGAAATTTTTCGACATAGAGGATGCTGAACCTCTGTGAAGTTGTGAACTATTAATTACTCAACCATATATTTAGGTATTTAGGATATCCGCTATGCTTTGATTACTCAGAGAGCAGAAATCATTGGAGGGGATGTCAAAAATTTTGGTGGAGCCCACTATTTGGACACTTCCTGATTTTCCCCTCAATTCTTCTTGGTGATCATCCTTTGGGAAAAAAAAAGAGAGAAATTTGAAGTCATACACTCTCTACTTATTTGATACCCCTCAACAAAATGAATATGTTCAGTATTCCACGCAGCCTTTTCAAATTTGAGTCTTCGCGGGGCATTAGGACCTTAGTTGTTGCCTATCATAAGGGCTTCATTTACAATTACATAAGAAAAGAGATATCATGAGAAATTACATCTGTTTGCAAGTGTTTGGGGCTCTTTTGATAGGCATGCAGTAGATTCCAATTCTGTGATACACTCATATATAAATACGCATGGATATGTATGTATATATATAAAATGATTTTTAATCATAATTACTTATAAATATGGTGCTGTGAACATATTTTTTCGGGTAATTAGAGCACGTACCTGCAAAAAGGAAAAAGAAGATGAGAAAAAATGAATATGAATATGATATAAAGTGAGAATAGTCACACATGATCTGGGCCTTAGATACAAGAAGAGAGTGGGAAATAGTTGCCAACTTCTTCACTGCAGAAAGCCTAAATAGAATGTATGAGATCATTATTCCCTAATTATTCCTGCGGTAACCTCTTAGGATTCCCTGCTTTCAAAAGTTTTTCATTCTTTGGTCTTCAAATGCACCAAACTATACTTCATGGAGTTCTTTTCCAAAACTTTCTCCCTTCACACTAGGCCTCTGGAAATGACGACAAGTACAACTATACTTTCTAACTGATATTCTGAATTTGCAATATCTGAATTTCAATAACTATATTCAGACATTGCAATATCCGAATTTGCAAGTTCACATGAGAACATCCACGTTGAATTTTTAAGAGAGGGTTCGAAAACATATTTATTCTAACTTAGAGGGAGAAATGCACTGAGCTGCCCCTTTAGATGATTGCAAATGTCGTGCAGCTTCACCAACTTCCAGTGGTGGCTGTATTTGATCTAGAGTGAATTTAATTAAATGTTGTTTCATTGCAGATCTTGTGATGGCTTTGATTGGTTCTCTCCTCAGTGTACTTGTGGTAAGCATAGATCTTCTTATCCAATTACTACTACCTGATTGATTAGCAAAAATGAAAGTAAAGATATTGGTTTTAACTCATTCATGTCTTCCTTGTTGAAACTCCTTATAATCTAACGGGTGGTTGAAGACCTGAAAGTATATACCTTACCATTCTCATTTGCTTTACATAATCCTACTCATACTTGATGATTAAAGGACTAAACCAAAGCATAATCCCTGCGAGTGGGAGAAATGAAAATGAACTTACCATATTTTACAGTTCTAGTTCAAAATAATGCTTCCAGGTGAGTCCACAACAAAGAACCACCTACATAAAGAGATTAGAGGGCCTCTCGATACACCATGTGTCAAAATATTTGGGCCGAAAGAGCCTACGTGCACCCCAATGAACTAGTAAAAGGCCTCTACCATTTAGAAATATTTGTTACAGCATGATAGCCTTGGGGATATAGTAAATACAGAAAATCCCGATACTAAAATTACTAAAACATAGGTGGTTCCACCTGTTGGGATTTCTCACGATTTAAATCCATTAACAAACACACACAATCGAAGAACAAATCAAGAATATAAAGCAATAAGAAACAAGAAAGAACAAGACACAGATTTTACGTGGTTTGGCAATTTGCCTACGTCCACGAAGCTGCAGGGATTTCACTATTGAGAGAGTTGAATACAGAGAGCGGCTGTACCATCCACAATTAATCCTAATCACCAAAACAACAGGGTTTATATGTCCTACGCACTGAGCTGTATAACGGCCCCGAACCCCACGAGGCTTGTCCATGAGCGTTACGGCTTGGGTCTATCAGCCCAAGCCTTCGCTCCATGGACCAAGCCTCAGAAAATTTTTCATTAAAAACCACACAACATTATTTCGGGTCGGGTCATCATCCGGATCACATATACAAACTAGACTCCATAAAAAAAAATCAACACCACCTTCGTAGGAGGGAACTAGATATCACGTGCACCAGTGTGGGCCCCACATGAACCACATTGTTTACACATGCCACCTGCACATGTGGGCACACACTGAAAATTGTCTTGTTTATTTATTTTATATCTAGATACAAATTAATATTTTCTAGGGGCTATTTTGAAAGATTTATCTCTGTGTCCCTTGGCAAAGATGGACTCATACATGCCATGCCTTTCAGCAACAAAGGGGCCACATAGGTTTCCATACAGATGGGTGCCTACGATTGAAAGGTCAAGAACAGGAAATAACAAAAGGTGGTCATGTTCCTTAATTAGGCCTAAATTGATGAATCAAAAGTGTGGTGAACCCAAAGGCACTGATTCACAGTAGTTCAATATGCCGCAGCACACACACATAGCCTCCCACTAAAAGACTGCACCCGGATTCAAAAGCTTGCTTCAATTAAAGGCCAACTTGCGGGACACTGTTTATAATGCATATTAATGGGATACCTATCACTTACATGAGACTTTGACTCTCACACCACACTTTTGATTCATCAAGAAGTGTAGGGTAGAAAGTTTGGAGGTGTGAACTCAAAAGTGGAGAGTGTGCAATTGTGCTTATTCAATGAGTGGTGTCTTATGCAACATTTAAGTGAAATCTTGAAGTGTGTGCCAAGCAAGAGTGCTGTCTTCTAAGGCGACCACAAAATTCAAAGTGGGGGAAGGAGGCAGATGGAAAAGTTTAATCGAAAATATTAAACCTTCAAGGGGGCCAAATAAAAATTATTATAGTTAAGGGTAAAAATTTAGAGTTTTGAGACCTAGGGGGCCATGGGCCTCCTAGGCTTCAACATGGGTCCGTCCCTCGGGGTAGTGTTCATATTGGTGAGGTTAGTCTTGTGGGCTTTGTTATGTACACTTGGTGGTGTATGAGTCCTTTACTTGTTAGACCAGATAAAAGCTTCTTGCTTGTATTTTGGGTTCATCACACTCTTGAGTGAACATGAACATTGTGGAGAAATGGAGATTAAAGAGTGTTATTGTTCATAGAATCGAAGGACCATCAAAAAGCAGCGAACTGCTGCCGGTGAACAAATTCAAGACACGGTTCTTGCAAGATTTTATTTTTGTTGTGACACTGGTCTAGTTGATGAAACTAGAACATGGTAGAAATTAACTTAGAAGATTGGAAATCACTGTAGGATCAAGAAGATTAACATGATTTGGGGTGAAAACAGAATACATGGAATGTGTGAGTTGACCCACTATGAAGCCACGCTACTATATTTCTGTAAAGAGAGGCAGACAAGCTTCTTTGTTCTTTTCTGAAAATCATATTATCAAAAGTAAAGGCATTCATAAAAAAATTTCAGTCATTGTGCTTATTATTGAACACCTGATTTGTAAACAAGAACATTTGCAACAACATTACAAGAATTCCGGTCATTGTGGGTATTGAACACCTATTTTTCAAATAAGAGCCTTGCAACACCATGTGGTTTTATAAACCGTTTTCCTGAAAAAGGACAAAGTGAAACCATTGATCTGCATAGGTGAGCTGTGAGGGGAAAGAGAGTATACGTTTCTCCGAGAAATTAGAAGTAAAATTACACGCAACTAGTGTTCCTTTGTTATATATGTCCTAATTGCAGAATTTAACAGTAGTATCATGTTTTTTGTTTTTTTTTGAACTTACAGCAGTATCATGTTTAGACTGTGTAAACTGAGTCCTACTTTTTCACTGGTTTTCCTTTTATGCACCATTCTCTTCGTTTGTCTTAAAAGATAGTTATGCTGATTTCTGTGTCAAGTTAATGTACTTATACCTGATGCATGTGACTCTGGTTCAGGCAGTTATAATGCCAGCCTTATGTTTTCTGAAGATTATGAGGAAGAAAGCAACCACAACACAGGTACGTAGCATAATTCGATATTACTTAATTTTAACATCTAGATAAATGAGCAGATGTTGGCTGTCATAAGTTACCACCTTAAATAGGTTCTCCAGTCCATTTCTACAATTCTTGTTGCCCAATGTTTTATGTTCTTCCTATAGCTTACATTGCAAATGTCAAAAAACCGTAAATGCCATTCACTCATTGTTTTAGTGTTTATGTATTAGGGAGAGGGATTAGGACTCAACCTAGTCTTATCTTTTTGTAGCTTCCTGCCAGATTAGGATAGAATATAAATCATATTTGTACTAGAACAACTTGAATCTGGTCAACTACGGCCAATAATCCTGAATCCTGACAATGGCAAGATCTACTTTTATTAGTCTGGCTTCTTTTGTCATTAACTGATGACGTTCATGCCCAAGATATTGGGCTCTCTACTTCACATGCTGTATGGCAAGCGCTTGAAGCCTCGTATGCAGCTCACTCCTGAGCTTGCAATCTCCAACTTCGGATTGAATTAAGCCCTTAGAAAAGGCTCCGACTCCATTTGCAAAGTACTTTTACAAGGCAAAGACAATTGCTCATCAACTCGCTATAGCTGGTTGTCTTGGGAGATTACAATATATGATATACCAAATGTTCTCCTTATTGCTTAGATGTGGCTACCCTTTTCACATGTCTGTATGATTAGAGTTTCTCTACATTTACGTGCATTTTCACATTTTCAGGTTGTTCTGAGTATTGCAATTGTTGTGTTGGGCATCATCAGTGCAGCCATGGGAACTTACTCTTCGCTGTCAGATATCGTAAAGCAGTACTGAGATACTCGAATATTTCAACAGGCCAACGTTTTAGTGTTGGGTTGGTACCAACTTCATTGGGAGATATGGCCTGTTTCAAATTTAGTCTCATTCATCTGTTTTGAGGAACTTCTTTCAATAAAATTCTCTCGCATCATCACATAACTTCATTTTTCTCTTGGTGTCGCCTCTCTTAAAGATGTAGACTGTACAACCATTGGCATATTCAATGCCAAGAATGTGCAAAACTATGTACTCTCACTGTAATCTCGTAGTAAATCACATTCAAAATTGACAATCCTATGTTCCTGTTGAATTGCCATGAATTTTCTGTAACTAGATATTTTGCTAGTTTCCTATGATTACCAAAATACTTTCAACTTGAATATATTTCCAAAATGCCTTCACATACCAGTTAGACCCTTCCACACACCCCACAAAACATTAAATCCTCATCTTCTCTGTCGCTCCCTCTTTTCACAAACACATATTTATTCAATGGAGCTGCAATCTCCAACTAAGCCACGGCCCGCCAAACCAATATTACACCACCAACCCATTTAACCTTAAACCCTATCACTGCCTCTGTGTCCAAGATTGACACAAAACTTCATACTCTCTCTCTCTCTCTCTCAAAACCCCCTAAATGGGAAGAGCTACATAGGACCAGGGTGTCGCTGGCTCACCCTCAAAGTTATCTAAGTTGTGGGCAGTTCAAGTAATAATAAAAGTGAGTCGTAAACTCATATGCATATAATGTGAGTTTGAATCTTGATAACTCATTTGAGTCAAACAATGAGAAATTTATCATTCAAGAATACCCTAATGCCGGCGTGGATGACTTATATTTAATTAGACATGAGAGGTAATTAATCGAGGTACACGTAAGCGAGTTCAGACACCTTTAATCATTGAACCAAAAAGAAATGAATTTTTTTTAAATTAGTAATATGCTTATCAAATTTTTTATTTCAAGTGATGTGATTTAATCTCCATAATTGTATATTAATGAAACTCACTTATTTAATGGTAAAAACTGTACTATATTATTTGGGATGAAAAACTTGATAAAAAATATTAGTCACCATAAAATTGTTATTTCTAAACAATAATGTATGTGTTTAAGTTACCACCTATGCATAGAATATGTAATCGCCTCCATGTAAGATAATAGAAATCACTGGTTGCCAAAATTTTTATTTCAGTGATGTGACATAATTTTTAATATTAAATAAATAGACCATATTAATATCCAACGATAAAAATTATGTATAAAAAATTTAGTAAAAAAACTTGATAAGTATAATATTAGTATTTTCTTATTAGGCGTAATGGTTGCATCAAGTCAACAATGGTGGAACGGTGTAACCGTTAGGCCAATACTTACTCCACTGTAGGCATGTTAAGCTTTTGTTTCCAGGTCAAACACTTGTAACCGACCGAGATGCAAAAAACACTCGACTCCTTCCCACCCACTGTAGGCATGTTAAGCGTTTGTTTCCATGTCAAACACTTGTAACCGACCGAGATGCAAAAAACACTTGACTCCTTCCCAACCAAAAACAAATCCCCCAACCTCCGATCCCTGCGTTACTCTCTACAACTCTCTCTCTCTCTCTCTACCCACACACACGCAGAGAAACGAACAAAAAAAGAACTGGGTTTGCTTGCTTTCTTTTTGTTTTTGGGTGTGAATGAAGCCAATAGTTGATGGCTGCAAGCCTGCAAGCCAACACATTGCGAGGCAACCAAAATGTTTGTTGAGGAGATTCGAATAATGCAGAGTTTAATTCTTTTGCCAAAAGGAAAAAAGTTGAAGATTTGGTTGATTCGCAAAAGTGTAGAGATAGTGATGATTTTATAGGCTAAAAGGTTTTTAGTTGAAGAGAAGTGTATGTGATAGTGAAATGTCTTCTGAATTGGTGGCTAGGACTGGTCGTCATCAGCAACGCTACGAAGCCGGTTGCCGCCTCATCGCCGGGTACTCTCTCTCTCTCTATGTGTGTGTGCATGTAAGAATCTTTTGGCCATATTTTTTTTTGTTTTTTCAATTTTCACAACTGGGTTTTGTGGGTTGTGGTGAAGAATGGGATAAAGTAAGGAAATTTAGGAAAAATGGGTTCATATGCTCCAATTTAACCATTTTATGCAATTTTTCTCCCCAAGAACGCTTAGTTGGTTGGTATTGGGGATACCCAATTTGGTTGTGGAAAATAATGAAGAAAAGCAAAGGAAATGTTAAATGGCTTCAAATTCTAATGTGATTCGAATCACTCTTTGCCAATGTTCTTACCGAGAACGAATTAGTGGTTTGAAACTGGTGATACCCATCAGTTTGTGTGTCTAGTATCTTCTCCATTGAACCCTTACACTAACCAATATGTTTGCATTTGAATAAGGGTTGTATTCGAGTTATTGTTACATCTTGGTAATTTGGGGATTATACATTGTTTCTATCTGATCAATTTTCTGTGCAAGTTAAATCATTTCTTGATTCCTTCATTCTTTCGAAGAACCAAAATGGTCTGTGAGAATTGGGGAGTCTGTTCTCTAGAGTAACATGCTGTTCTTGACGATTAAGGACTTGTAGCAGAATCGTAGTGGATTGACCATTTCCTGGCAACACAATACGTGCTCTTCTTTTTCTGATGTCAGTGCTGTTGGGGTTTTTTTTTTTTTTTTTTTCTGATTTGTTTTCCTACAAGATTAATAATCCTGACACTGTTCATATTGCTGGGCTGACAAAGAATCCTACGACTGTTGATATTGTTGGCTGACACAGAAGCCAGCAAATAGAGGATCTCCACATTGATTTTTTTGTGAATATAACACCTGTTTTGTCCTGTTTCCACGATGGGATTCAGTATCTTACTATTATCTTTTTTGCAATATTGTCAAGATTAAGAATATTAAAGTTTTAGAGGGAAGATTTGTTTTCGAAGTAAGAGATCCACAAGTGTAGTTGGTCGGTGGTACAATAAATGCTTCATCCTATGAACGATAGACTTACTCTTGGTCTTAAAGACCAAAGCTAAGGAATGGTACTAGTTGTTTTGGTTAACTGCCATTGAAGTTTTCTTTCTTTCTTTTTTTTTGGGAGAGGGGCACAAGACTACTTTCTGAAGCCAAAAAGTTTACTGACTGGATGCTCCTTTGACCATCACTGGCTCTTTACCTCACCTTGGGAAGGGATTTTAGTTTTTTTTTTCTTTTTTTTTTTTTGGGGGGGGGGGGGGGGGTGAGAT